TTTTTTATTTTTTTTTTTTTTTTTTTGTGTAGAAATTTTTCCAATTACAAAAGAAAAAAAAAATTTGGAAAATATTTACCCATCAAATATCAAAAATTTATTTTCCTCAAAAATGTGGAAATTTGGAAAGTCGAAAAATATTTTCCCGGGAAAATTTTGTCTATTAAACACTACAAATATTGGAAAATAGAAAAAAAAATTCCATTTTTCATAGAAAATGTGTGCTATCAAATTGGGCCTTAAGTCTAAAGAAGACATTTCCTCTAGGAGAGATCATAAAGGCATTGTTGTGCAATTAATTTACCCATGTTCATGAGTCTAACTTGGCGGAAAACGAAAATTGAGCCCGAAGCAAAGCACTAAACTATATTTAAGCAAAACATCAGGCAAAAACTGTTAGAATCCGTTTGATTGTAAGAATAGAATTTGGGTAAAAAGAAAATGAATTTCAAGGAATGAATTGTCTAGAACTTGTCTTACTGATAATTGTCAATTAATTGGTATAATTTTTCACCTGAAAAATATTGAAATTTTGGATCTTTTGATATTCGTTTGACTTTGTTTTCCATGAAAATTGTCCATCAAATGGATATAACTTGTTTTCATTGCAAAAGAAAAAAAAATTGTCAAGCTTTTTCCTCAAAAACCAAGAAAATGTGAGCATGTAGGTGAAGATGAAAAACCAATTCCATAGAAAATTTGGGCAATCAAACATGCAAAAATGTGGAAAATGGAATTTAATGTTCATCTTCCATGGAATTGAAGTGCAATCAAACATGACATTAAAAAACTTATTCCAACGAATAATATTAATTAGTATCGGTGATATTAGAGCACCAGTTTAGATGACCACACTTGATAGGTCCATTGTTTTAGTACCAGTGTAGATGATCACACTTGATATGTATAATTAAATTAATTATTTAACTTTGCGATTAAATGAATTTATCATTTAATGTTATTTAATTGTCATATAACTCTATCCCAATAGCTAGAAAAACACAAATTTGAAATAATCAAGAAAGGCTTCATCACCATGTCACATTGTTGGTTCAAACAGAATGTACATAAATCAGGTAAGAAATATAATCCTACCAAGGAGATGATTTTCACCCAAACCTAGATAGAACTTTTACAATTTGACAAAGAAATGACATCAATTTCGTACCAAACTAAAATAGCACTCAAATACTACTCGGTTCTATCATTGATAAACATCTTAGCATTATGAACGATCCTGGAACAAGGTGTGAAAAGCGAAAATTCCATTATACCAAAACGATGAACTACTAGACACCCTGGTACATCCCATAGCACCATGAACGCTCAAAAGCAACATTCTTCAAATATACAGCAGCAACAAAGTGCAGCCAAATTGCATTGCATAATAAACAAATATATTATCTTTGCTCCAATAATTCTTCATAAAGGAAGATGCACTACAGAAGTTTCTACGGTCCCAAAGTTGAGCAAAGTATGCCATCATATTATCCATGAAACATGATAAATTATAACCAGTAGCAAGAATTGATGATATTTTTAATATGAATGTGGTATGAGTCAAATAGCAATGGTTAGAAACTTTAAACATGTCTAAGAGATGTTTGAAGTTAGCTTAGCTTTGTCGGATATTATCTATGTGCATTTCGTTAATGTTATTTTTATGAGTCCCTTATTCGATGTAATATGCATCAACCCGTATGATAAACATGAATTTCTAGCTTTCCCTTATATGTTTTAGCATATGGTTGCTTTTGTGTGTGGAATAAATCATTTCAAAACTCATTCCTCATCAAACAAAAAACTTGGTGAAATTTCTTGAATTTTAGCATGTAAGTCGATCTTACATTTTGTGTTAATGTCTATGAAGTTTGATTATTTTCCTTCGAAATGATTAAAGTTGATATATTTTACAGAATCTAATGGAATATATGATGGTGTTGGAGAATTGTTTCAGGGATGAAAGTGGTTGGTGAATACTAGCTTCTGGGCTTTTTTTGGTAAAAGCTGGTGAAAGTCGTAGAAGTTTCTAAGCTCTACTTATCAATTGCCACATGGCTAACCTAGATATTCATGAC